GAATATGGCACGAGAAGGGAGTTGGGGAGCGTTTGGGGAACATCTGTAACGGTTCCCGTTACAATTAGCACTAGTTATTATGTTCCCCAAACGAAGTTGGGGAACATATTGTTTTTACTCTGTTTCTTATTATTATTATTAAGGTCTTCCGTCTCCAACGGAAGACCTTATTGTTTTCGTTCGGTTTCTTTTTCCCTATTATTAAGGTCTTCCGTCTTCACGGAAGACCTTATAGTGATTGTATTGTTTCTTATTATTCTTATTCTTTTTTTGACAAAATTTTGTGCAGGCGATTTCTCGAAAACTATTCAGCGGTTTTTCATGAAACTTTCACAAAATATGAGTTATAATATGAAGTTGTTCCTTTTGGTGCAAAATTGGAAAATTCGCTTTTGGTGCCAAGTTATGGACGATTTCCTGATTTTAAAATGCGATTTTGTCGCCCCTTTTTATCGAAAACGGTTTAGGATATGAACTGGAGACTTCTTGGAGATTATAGAACATGACTTTGTGGTTTGCGGAATTACCTTTTCGTGCGTCGTCAGTACTTCCGGTCGTTACGACATGCAAATTTAAAAAAATCGTATTTTCTAACTTTTTTGTTTTTCAGTATTTTTCATTTATTTTCGGTATGTTAATAGAAACCCTTCTAATAATGCTTCCTATATAATTTGTTTGAATGTTCATAAATCTAAACTCTAGATATTAGCATTCAAAAATCTGAAGCGTGTCCAAAATGGCGGCTGTCTCTATCAACGCCGACATTTCGCAATAGGTGTTTACGGAGGCAGCCGAGCGTTTGCTTGAACAAAAGTAACATAAGAATAAATGAAAGGCAAAGGAATACATGGATTTTCACGTCGTATTTACGTTGCAGTTCTGTTTTAAACTAAGGTCTTCTATAATTAGTTTTGGCTGGTTTTCAAAGTAGAAAAAGAAAAGACTAAATGTGCAAATGAAATTCGATACCTAAAATCTCTTGTGCATCGCCGAAAAACAGATCTTAAATCATACTTATAAGTAATACTTTCTCAAAAAAGAATATCAATTAATTTTGTCAGTATAAATATTAACCACTGTTTTTCCTATGCACACTTGTGTCATATTAAACTAATATATTAGACAAAAATAAGAAAACGATTTTTTTAAAGATCGCTTCATGGAGTTTATTTTAGCATATTTGTCTCAAAGACCTGATTCAAGTTAATGAGCATAAATGATATCGGATTCCTGACAGTCGTAGGGCGAGCCATGTTTTCCTGCGAAACTTTTCAACCTTTATCGATTAACTATTCGGGATAGTTCACTTTGAGGATAAACAGGGAATTGAAAAAAAAAATCATATCCGTTTCACCGCTTTAGTGTTACATGCATATATACAATATGGAAATTGTAAAATGTGTTAAACATACTTTCTAAACTTCGAATCTTAGGCTATAAGAACGTTCTTTTTATTCATTTCATTGAAGCTATCACACCTATTTAATAGAACATTCCAAAGAAAAGGGGCGAAGATTAACTCGGTGCGTTTGGCGCTAAAATTTGAATAGTGACCCGCCTTTCATAATTTTAAGAGAGAAGCACTGTTTCCTTGATATATACAAGAAGATTTAGAGTAGAGTTCCCGATAGCGTAATATTTAGTGTGTTGGAATTTCATGTGGCGACTTTGGTTCAATCCCCCTTGTGTGCAAATCTTTTTTTTTTACTTTTCAGCTCGATTTTCCGTTTTCTTTCCGGAATCGGACGGAAGACCTCTCGTTGCTCGCAACGAGTTTCATCTAGTTATTATTATTATTATTATTTTTTTTCTTACCGATTTTGTGCACGCGATTTCTCGGAAACGGCTGGACCGATTCTCACCAAATTTTCAGATCTGATAGATATTTATCTGAACCTTGTCGGAAATTTTTCGTAAGTACGTCGTCACTTCCGGTCGTGAGATATGGACGATTTACTGATTTTTAGAGGGTCAGCTTGTCCTGAGATCTCCTCCTAAACGACTTAAGATATCGACTTGAGATTTTCAGTGAAGGTAGAGGAAGGATAGTAGATGTGACATTTTGCATATAGAGCTTTCCAGGTAAGAAGGCATCGACGCTCGCCTGGGATCGAAAATAGCCTCATGCTCATCTCGCAAAAATTGACACGTTTTCTTTTATATCTTTTTACCTGTTAATATTTTGTTAAGACATATATAATAAAAAATGTGCAATATAGTAAGACCTTTCATTTGATATCAAGTAAACGGGGTTAGTCCTTCAAATTAGGGGCATAGAGGGGGCAAAAGTCTCTCGTCTTTAACTTTTTTGTTTTTCAATATTTTCAAATGATATTAGTATAGTTGATAGAAACATTTCTTATTAGGCTGAATATATAATTTGTTTGTAAATTTATAAATTCAAACTCGAGATAATAACATTCAAAAATCTGAAGCGGGAACTAAATGGCGGCGGTCTCTGTCAATTCCGACATTTCGCAATAGCAGTTAACAGAGGCAGCCGAGCGTTTGCTTGAACGAAAGTAACATAAGGAGCAATGAAATGTGTAGGGATACTTGGATTGTCACGTCGTAGGTTCGTTGCAATTCTGCGTCAAACTACATTCATAATCCAAGGTCTCCTTACAAGTTTTCTTTAATTGGTTTTGGTTGTTTCTCAAAGTAGAAAAAAGAAAAGAATTAATGTGCAAATTAAGTACGCATTGATGATATTATCTAAATCAAAAGGATTTAATCAAAATAGAAAAGGCATGATTCCATGATGTTTTATCAAAGATCATAGTCAAAGTCATATCTCATCTTATCGAAAATTCGGACGGAAGACCTACTCGTTGCTCGCAACGAGATCGCATCTAGTTATTATTATTATTATTTTTTCTTCTTATTTCTTCTCCGGTACTTTTTTGTCCGGAAGTGTTCTCAGAAACTGTTCACCAAACTAAGTTAAAACCTTTTTAGGGTTAGTAGGCATGTTGTGTAGATGTGCCGAACGAAGGTCATTTTGCGCGTATTCGCATGCACGTGCAGGCGCGTGCAATGAGTAAACTGACTGATATATTTAATATGGTTGTAACTTTTATATTTTTTGATAAAATGTTTTGAAACTCATTATATAAAGATATATAAGTTGTGTACATAAGATGACATGGTCAATTTTGCATGAACTCACGCGCATGCACGTGCGCTTTGCTCTGATTGGCTGAAACAGAAATCTCAATATCTCTTTTGTTTTATGATAAAATGCTTTGAAACTTATAACATAGACATGTATTAGAATGTACTACAATATGATATATAAAATTTTTCATGAAATCACGCGCATGCACGTGTGCTGCAATCTGATTGGCTGAAACTTTAAATGAGTATAACTCCCTTGCTTTTCAACCAAACAGCATGGGATTTAGAACATAGATAAACATAAAGGACTCCTACAAGATGGTATGGTCACCATTCACATGCATGCATGTGCGTGCACGTGCGCTTTGCTCTGATTGGCTGAAACAGAAATCTCAATATCTTTTCTGTTTTTTGACAAAATGCTATGAAATTTAAAACATAGGCATACTTTAGGATGTCCTGCAATATGATATATAATAATTGTCATGGAAACATGCGCATGCACCTGCGCTGCAATCTGATTGGCTTAAACTTTAAATGGCTATAACTCCCTTGTTTTTCAACCAAACAGGATGGGATTAAGAACATAGACAGACATAATGGACTCCTACAAGACGGTATAGTCATCAAATGAATAAAATAGTGTAGACAAGATGATATCGTCATTACGCTCATGCAATCACATGCGCACGCCTGCATTGCTTAGATTTGAAATACTTGGTATACTTTTGGGAAAACGTTGTTTACGTCTTAAATGCATAGATTTTGCCTTCTTTAATGAAACTTACAGGGAATATGGCACGAGAAGGGAGTTGGGGAGACGTTTGGGGAACATCTGTAACGGTTCCCGTTACAATTAGCACTAGTTATTATTATTATTATTATTATTATTATTCTTTTTTTTCTTCTTTGTTCTCCGGTACTTTTTTTGTCCGCGAGTGTTCTCAGAAACTGTTCACCCAACTAAGTTAAAACCTTTTTAGGGTTAATAGGTGTCAAGTGTAGGTGTGCACAACGAAGGTCATTTTGCGCGCATACGCATGCACATGCGTGCGCGTGAAATGAGTGAAATGACCGATATACTTATTATAGCCATAACTTTTACATTTTTTATTGAAATGCTTTGAAACTCATTCTATAAGGATATATTAATAGTCTAGATAATATGACATTGTCAAATTAGCACGAACTCACGTGCATGCACGTGCGCTTCCCTCTGATTGGCTGAAACAAAGATTTCAATATCTCTTTTGTTTTTTGACGAAATGCTTTGAAATTTTAAACATAGTCATGCATTAGGATATACTACAATATAATATATAGCAGGTATCATGAAAATACGCGCATGCACGTGCGCTGCAATCTGATTGGCTTAAACTTTAAATGGGTATAACTCCTTTGATTTTCAACCGAACAGGATGGGATTTAGAACATAGATAGACATAGTGGATTCCTACAAAAAGGTAAAGTCATCATGCACATGCATGCACGTGCATGCACATGAGATGGATAAAATCAAAAATACACTTAATGAAGCGTATTTTTTAATACTTTTAGATTAAATGCTTTATTTTTTTTTATTATATAATGTATATAGATAGTGTAGACAAGAGAATATGGTCATTACGCACATGCATTTACATGTGCACGCGTGCAAATGCTAGAATTTGAATATACTCGGTATACTTCAGGGAAACGTTGTTAAAGTGTAAATTGCATAGAGTTTGTCGTTTTTAATGAAGCTTAAAGGGAGTATGGCACCAAAAGGGAGTTGGGGAGCGTTTGGGGAACATCTGTAACGGTTCCCGTTACAATTAGCCCTAGTTTTTAATTGATTTGATTTGACTTTTTGAGAAACACCATCTCTACACTATATTACTTACCTACAACAGCGATAGATGTATTGGAGAAGGATATGGATTCTGAATGTTCAGACGTTTGAAATTCACATCCATAAATAGCACTCAATGAACACTGATCAGGGTCATTTGTGAGGTTAAAAGAAAACGTCACATTAACGCTAGAACTACCGTCTGTATAAACAGGACTAATTCTGTTATCAATGTTTATCATCGAACCATCCCTGAACATTTTGACGAGCTCTTCTGATTGGTTGGTGTAGCGTTTTAAGGAAATGCTCTCCCACTCAGTTTCCACAAGAAATATGTAACATACTACATCGAAAGATGACTGAGGTCTTACCACATAAGAAGTGGATTCAAACATGGAATATACTGAAAAATGAAATGGATCGATATTACTTCTGGCATAAAATTGTGGATACATGTTTCTTTTGAATATTTAAATGAAAAGGTAAAAAGAAACTGTTTTTTTCATTTATAGGTTCAAATATAAGACTTCAAATAAAAATACTTAAAATGGATATTTTTTATATGTACTTACCAGAAGCAGATTTTGAAACAATATTAATTATGGATCCGTTCGATTCTAGCATTTTTCCACTTGAATCCAGCAAAGAACATTTAGCTTTTGATTGGTTCATTTCATTTGCGGCGTTTATTTCAAAAACAAAAGTTGTCATATTAGTGCATTTTGGCAAGGAATTTTCCATTAGTTGATGAACCTGTACTGAAGATAAATTCAGAGTAGTATTATCCCTATCAATGAAAGTAAGCACAATGTTTGAGGAAGGGTCGGCTAATTGTACGCTGCAGTTGATGTAATCCGTAGAACCGTTATAGTACTCATTATTTGTTGCTATCTGAAGACCAAAGGAGATACCTGTAAAATACAAAAAAAAAAAATCTATGGAAGCTATTCACTAACATTCTTGTTGATTAAGGTAAGTGTTTTGTTAATATATATTTCTTAATAACGTGTACCTTAAATTTTCACATATATTATTTCGTCAAACTAAACACAAAATTTATTTTAAATTACGATACCATGAACAGACAAGGTCAGGTTTCCATAGGAGGCAGTGAAATTATCTACTATGTCAAATCGACATTCATAGTTTCCCGCCAAATCACAGTCGTCTGCTCCTATATCGAAGGCAAAGGTTACATTATCTGCCTCAATTCCAGGTGCTCTGCTCAAAGTAGCATTAAGTCTGTGGTCTGATATCGATTTATCTCCGTTTTCTGACACCCTTATTAGTGTTGTGGTCTCAGTTCCATTGTAGAAAGTCAGATAAACACTACTCCAATTGTACCAAAGTTTATGAATGGTACATTGAACCAACTCTTGGGAGGACAAATTTGCGTGAATGGTTGACTTATCAAACACAGACGTAACTGAAAGTATTCACGTAAAAAACATAGAATTACATTTCTAGTGTACCACCAATTGTTTTTGTACACTTGTACTATATCTAGTACAACACACGTGTTCAATTTGTCACGAGACTTACTCATTTGACAATCGTTTCCTCGCCAGCCATCAATGCACCCACTTTGACAACTTCCGGTGAGTTTATTACAGACTTCACTTAGGTTCGCGCAGTGACATCTAAATTCACAGTTATTTCCAAATCGTGGAAGAGTCTGATTACACTCCTTCGGTACTGTATCTACAAACAAAAGATCCATGAATCACAACATTCAACCGAGTCACACAGACCCTGCTTGAGAAGACTTTAACAATTGTTCTTGTTTATTCTCACATTTGTTTTGTTTCTGCTATTAGTTTTGTTTTGTTTGTATCAAGAAGGGATGGATTGATGAATGTGTTGGTTGAAAGGACAAATCAATGTGGCTCTGTTGTTTTCCAGTTAAAATTAATGAATTTCCTCCATTAATTCTTATGTAAGACTTTGTCACCCTTTTTGGCCTCATTCTGTCCTGAAAGGATTCAACTTTAACAAGCCTGATATGTAATGCATCTAGATACTTGTATATTATTGTGTTTAAAGCTGAGGTTTTGGTTTAGGTTGTTACTAGAGAACAGAGAACATTCTTTTACCGTCTGTAAATGGTGATAGTAGACCAACATAGACCATCACACTCCCGCCAGCGACAGCAACCAGTAAAACGCCAAGTATGACGAATCCAACAGTATGGCATTCTTTACTTTTCAGAAGGCTTTGGTCATGGTTAGGTTTCGGGGGAGGTGAATTACATGATGTTCCGTCGGGATATTTCGCTCTAAGCTGATGTCCCTGCATAAAAAAAAATAAGGTATCTAAATTTCATCAAATATTAAATATTTCAAAGGAGATGGGTATACTAGAATTTGGCGGCGTTTAATCTGCAGGAATCACGTAAATGGCTCATTTGAATATAAGATGTCCAGTCAAGCATTTGTTCGGCAGCAATAGCTGAACAGACTTTCTGAATATTAAAGCACACAAATAAGCGTTTAAAACACTATACTTGAGTTTGACCTTGCATTTTAACTTCTTTATGCAAAAATTTAACAAACTTCAAGTTGGCATGGCTTTTGAACGCACTGTAGGCGTTTCAAACTTTACAACTTAAAGAAGTATTGATCTAAAAAAAATTCCAAGCTTTTAAGTCTTTTTGGTATTAAGACCATCAAAATGTAGATTTTCACAGTTATATGCTTTTCATTAAAATTTAACACTACTTAGGGTATGTTGGTTGAAGAGTAGTTTGTTCTCTGAAACTTAAAATTCCAAGAATTATTTTTATGAAATGCTCAAAACTTGACATTTTTTTCTCACTATTCTTTCATCTTACAGCTAATTAACTATTTGCTACAGTTCTGTTGCATACACTGACGGTAAACTCAACGCATTAATAAATAAGGTCAGAACATGTTTCGAAATTGCGCCATGAATGAGATCTTTAAGTAAAATTCCAAGATAAACTATTTCCGAAAGACAGACTAGTACTCAAGATCCTACCAGCCATCGTCTTGCCTCCAATGCTATTGTTCCGTCTAGAACCCTGGCCAGGAAGGACGAGTTGCGCCGGATATCAGTCCTGTCTCGTCCATCTAAGTCCCGGAAGTGATAACTTTCATTATTGTAAGCTGGCCTTTCAGTTCCACGCAGGTACACTGGCGAGTTATTCCTTCCAGCAAAAGTATTATCCAAGGAGTGACTCCCAAGGATTTCTCTAAGGATATATTTATCATCCATTTTATGTCAACATTTGAATATGAAATTATTTCCAAACATCGCATTCAGTAGTCCAAAATTCATTCAAAGAATACAGATACAGTATTACTAATCAATACAATTTAATTTCCAAACATATCATTCAGTGGTCCAAAATTCATTCAAAGAATGCAGATTATTAATCAATAAAAAGACAGGTATCCAAATACATTAAAGAGGAAGTAATTAATCCAATTTGTAATCTTGTAATCCGAGACAAATACGTTTCATTAATAGTCTACAGCTACAGAAATAACTCCGCAATGGGCATTTTAAATGCTTTATTGTTCACGGTTCTAGGGGTACATTACCTGAACATACATTTAAAGACATGTGTGATAATTATACACCACAATACAACCTACCGTGAATTCCCTGTAGACTAGATATGACTATTATACATATATAATATAGAACTGTACATGTTTGAACCGAAATAGGGCAAGACTTTGTAACATTTATTGTAAAATTCTTAGCGAATTTTATTTTAGGAAAACTACGACGTTTTCGTTCCAAATGGTCCACGTTTATAATTGATATACAAGAATGACGTACATGTAATGATGGAAAACTTGGAGGCGCTGATTCGGTATTAACTCCCAAAAAGTGATATCACCTATTCGAATAGGTGATATCACTCATTTGAATAAGTGACATCACCAAAACAAAAACTGAATAGGTGATATCACTTTTTGGCAGTAAATACCAAATCGGCGCTTCGTGGAAGACTACATGAGATTACATGTTTTGTTATAGGTTATTGTCTGTTTAAAACATATCAGGTTTGGTAATGTGTCATTTCTACGGATGATAAAGCGGTATGAAAACAAATTGTAAGCATTACTTCGCTAAACATAAAACATAACTTAAGCCTTGTTACTCTAAAATTTCGCTAACGTAAAATCAAAGCTAGATTACTGAACTTTGTGGTCTACAACAACAATAAACACGGCTACTTCCGCATTCTTCGCGTCTCAAATTTCAACAAAACAGTGAGAATCGTCTCTCCTTTAAAGATTATATTTAGCACTTACGGAATAAACAATTTAACCATAGGCGCTCCCCATGTAATTCTGTAAATGACGTATGATAAGTATAATATGTATAGGTCTACCCCTCTATACTATAAAATAACCAAGGCTTGCAACTAGCCGCCATCATGAACCCTTAAAGTAAGTCAGTCAGAGGTCCCAGGCGAAGTTCATAATGGCGGCTAGTTGCAAGCCTTGGTTATTTTATAGTATAGAGGGGTAGACCTATACATATTATACTTATCATACGTCATTTACAGAATTACATGGGGAGCGCCTATGAATTTAACGGGGAAAAAATACTACATTTCGGTAACGTATTGTCACTAAAGATAAAATGCCTCGTGCATTGAAATCACACACCAAGTGATAGCAATCATTTATGAACTATTTCATGATCTTATGACAAAGTGAATATTCCAGTATTTATTTTGCTTCTTTCTTTTATGCAACAAATGGTTTCCCAATAAAAAAAATTATTATTCACTGATTAAGGTCAATTTTACTGAAATAACTCTTTTTTTTTTAATTCCAGTTCAAAAAGAGAAGAGATATGAATGTATAATTAACTTATTTGAATTATTTGGATTTTTCATTTAAATTGTCAGTTAAATTTTTCACAACATATTTAGTCAGATTTATACATATTATATTGAAATAAAATCAAAATAAGTAGTCAGTTAGAAACCTCACCATGATTTTGTTCCTGACCAAGGACATGTGCAACATGTCACTCTACAAACCGTGTATATTTAAGCTGTAACCAGTGTGGTGAGACCTATTAGATCCATTACTGCACAATGGCCCTAAATACCGCGTGTATAGTTTGTTTGTATGTTGTTTAACGTCCCTTTCGAGTATTTTTCACTCATATGGAGACGCCTCTCCTTGCCGTTAGAGAGCTTCAAATTTTGTCCTATATTCGGCACTTACTGTACTTACAGCCATTGAGCATTGAGGGATCTTTTTCGTACCAGCACCTTCTACGACTAAGAATCTCGTTTTATACAGTCTCAGTCGAAGAACCGGTCTCTGCGTCCCACAGTGGGATTCGAACCCGCGAAGTAAGGATCAGCTCCTTACTTCACAACTCTAGACATGCTAGAGCAGACGCTCTAACCTCTGTGCCACGCGGGCGACGCCGTATACTAAATGCGTCAAATTTTGCAGCTCTCCACCGGCAAATGGTGGCGTCTCCATATGTGAGTGAAAAATATTCTAGAGGGATGATAAACAAGAAACAAAAACATGATAAAATGTATCGGTGCCTGGCTTCAATGCTTTTCATATACGTATGTAGAGAAAGAATAAAGTTGCTCAACGACTGCATGCTGTTCCTTAAGCAGTGAGATATGTCACTGGATATTCGTTATATCAAGGTTTTTTTTTTCATTTGAGGGTTTTCTTTTTACTTCATTGAGTGAAATGGCATATAAAATTACATTAACTAGATCCTGTAATTAGACAAACGTTCTACAGGCAGGAATATTGAGTGGTCACTAACAATTTTGTCTTGTGTATATTTTAGAAATCTACTCCTAAGTAATATAAAAGAAAATTGGGGAGAGCATTTTTTCTTGCATATTGGGCATTGAAAAGAAAAATAGCTTGTTAGGTTGTAAATATACCGATAAATCTGCTCTGCATATTCTGGAATGTCTCTAAATTCGAACTTCTGAATAAACCAAAATTATTAATAACAATTCCGTGTTCATACCCTTTAAATAAGCTGACATTTTCTTTTCAGCACTGTATTTGCAATACGCGTGTAATAAAAGAGTAATACAAATTTGATTTTACAGTGTTTAATCGGTGCTCTATTTGTTATTTAATTCTCTGCATGATATGAGTTTTCTGTAGACTAAGAGGGTGGTCCCTCTCTCTGTGACTTTGTCTCCTCTCCTTACAATGCCTGATCAGTCTATGTCCCTTACTAATCCCCAGTCTGTCCAACACTTGATTGGCTATATCTGGAATCAGAGGTTGTAACAGAATCGAGCACACTCGCAGTGTCTCCATGTTAAGATGTAGCACACAATGTACATGGCTTTCACTGCCTGGGTCCTTACACAGTCGCCACGGCTCGTGATCATTAAACAGTTTATTACTCCATCTGAGGTATTCAAAAATGGCTTCAGATACTTTGTGACACAAGAAGCCCTTGTAATGATTTTCACATATATCTGAAACACATAAAACTCATACATAATCATTTGGATAAAGAACTTTTGATAAAGCCCATTCAAATTTTTTTTTTCATATTTTACCCTCTTTATAGTTCACTATTTACTTTAACTAAAATATATTTTCATGTTAAAAAAAAAAATTGAAGTGCAAAAACCAAAGTTTAAGTACCTATTAAGTTTGGTAGATTATTGAACATATCCCTTTCTTGTTTTGTGAAATACGTCTGGAAAGCCTCTTCATTAAAGGAGGGGAAAATAGCCTGTTTGTTTATAGATGTTGATGAAGTTCTGGACAGGAGATTTAAGTAAGTGTTCACCAGCTCTGCATTTATAATGTCTTTTGCAACATCATCATTATAGTCTACAATAGAAACGATATCATTACAGTGTTACTATCAACCTGGTTCACCTCGGTAATTACAACATTAAAATGAAAATTGGAAAATTTTGCAACTGCATTGACACAAGACGTTACATTTTAACACTTACTACAATTAGTGAAAACCGTCCCAGTTCTGAGTAGGAAGTATCGGAATCCTGCCTCTGTCAATCTGTCCATACGCTCCTCTGGATCCACCACATTGCCCCTGCTCTTTGACATCTGAACAAGATATATTGAATAAGAGTACCTTCAATAATCATTATACTGTTTTGGTGTATTTTTAAAATAATTTAATGTACAGCAATGCCTTACAATCGTGAATTGGTTTGATATACACTATTACTTTTCAAAATATCAACATCACCTACAACAATTTCACACTTTTAATACCAATATGGATAGATTTGATTGTTTACTCTTTAAATATCAAACTGATGGTTCTTCACCTTGTATCCATCCACAGTCCAGTGGGCATGACAGACAATCTGTTTAGGTAAATCTAAATCTGCAGCTAACAAGAAAGCTGGCCAATAAATAGCATGGAACCTGAAAGTCAAAGAAAAAGAAATGTATGGCATTACACCCTGTACATCAACAATCATATAGCTCAAGTAGGTGAAGGTTGTATTTAAGCAAGGCAAGGTCTGAAATTGTCTCTGAAACTTTTAATCTGGGACACTGACGCTAATGCATAAAACTCCCCCAACTTCATTGAGGTGAGCTACAATCTGTGTTCATAAATTAAAAGTTCAAATAAATTTAAACAGCTCATAAAACAAATTATGTGCTAAGAAAATAAAAGACGATAAATTCACAACAAACTGGGACATATCAAATTCTTCTAAAGTGCACTAGCTCCTACTAGAATTGTACAATACAGAAATCCCTACTTGAGTATATCTTGACCCACTATCTGTGAGTCTGGTGGCCAGCTCTGTAGGGGACCAGGGTATCCCACCACTGTCAAGTAGTTCATCAAGGCATCCAACCATACGTAGATCTAAAAATAAAACAAAAATCAATAGAAACAATCTACAAGAATAATGTACTGTATACAGAGAAATTTTCGCCCCGGTTTAATTTTCACCCCTTTCGCCCTAGTCTGGCGTGGGCGAATTTTAAACGGGACGAATTCAAAGAAAATTGTTTAATATCTTAAACAAAAATCTTTTTGGGCGAATTTAAAACGGGGTAAACTTGTTTTCAGATGTGAAAGGGCGAAAATAACCCTGCATACAGTATTGTTAGTTAGAGCACATTTTCAGAAATAAAGCACATTTTCAGATTTGTTTCATCTGCATAATGATAGAATTCTTGTGCATGTATAATTTCTACTTCTAGAAAAATCTTTACTGTTAAAGACAGACATTCTTTTTTCTTCTA